CGCCCCTCGCTCGCCTCCCGCCGCGTCCCGGCGGCCCCGGCTCCCCGCGGCCGCGCCTCTCCCGGCACTCCGCGCCCTGCCCCGCGCCGGGACGGCTCCCGATAAAAAAACGTCAGTTACCAGGAGTGGGGTTCGAACCCACGCGGACATGCGTCCATTGGATCTTAAGTCCAACGCCTTAACCACTCGGCCATCCTGGTGCAGATACCGGGACCTCTCGCAGCCGCTCCTACATTCATGGCCGCGCTCCCAACCGCCCCCCGGGCCGCCCGCGACCCCCGGGGCTGCCCCCTCACCCCCTCCCCGCCGCCGCCGCTCCCTCCCGCCTTTATTCCCAGCGCGGCGGGCGCCGAGCGCACGGGGAGGCGCGCGCGGGGGCGCTGGGCCGGGGGCAGCGGGTGCGAGGGCTGCGGGCCCGGGCAGGGCGCGCTCGGCCCCCTCAGGGCGGGCAGGGCCGTGGTGCCGGCGGGCGCGTCGGCCGTGAGCGGCAGTGGGGAGGTGGTGCCGATAAGGCACCGACACTTCATTATTTCCGTCCGAGTGTTTCCTGGAATGTGTCTTCTCTCGCTCGTAGAAGGAAAACCGAAACCAACAAAGCTCAAAGCTATCAGTTATGCTAATTAGGAGGAAAATTATCGCAGCGGAAAGATTTTTTTGCTGGTCGTCACAATATGCCGTGTCTACGGAAGGACTTATGGCAATATTCCCGATTACTGCCGGCCCCTTCTTCCCTGCATCAGAGGGGACATGGGAAAGTGTCGCTGACTTTACCCTTTAGCCCTGGCACTGGCTCCCACTCCCGCTGCTGTTTTCCAGCGGAGCAAACGGACATCCTGCATGGCACCAAACTCTGGCACCTTTGAGGTGTGAGAAACATATTCCACACAGCACAGGCGGAACACACGGGCCTGTGCCAGCCTCCAGCACACGAGGAGGCAGGCGAGGCCGTCTGCTTCCCCCCGGGAGAACAGGAGCACGCTCCCTGCTCGGGTGTTGGGCACCCTGGCTGTCCCTGCCCCTCTGCAAGGGGGCTGGGGCTCGCACTTGCAGGTGCAGGTGGTGCCGGACCTCCTCGGCTTAGTGCCCAGAGAGCCCCGGGACACTGGGCGTGCTTGTGGGGGAAAATAACACGTGTGGTCTCGGGTACTATACATGTTATTCACACGCAGGAGTTCATGAATAAAAGAACAGCTCTTCCAATGGAACCTATGCCGTATCATTGCCTTGAAATGAGTGGCATGCCATAACTCTCCATTCAGTACTCAGTACTTTACTTTCAGCAAAGTATTGAGTAGAGAAACACTGTTAGGTTTTTTTACCTTTCTGTTCATATCTAACACCATTTCAAAGAAACACAGTAAAATGTTGCCTTTTCTTGTCCAGACCTGGTGCCCTAACAATGTGTGCACAGTGAAGTTGTCGTCTGCTGGCTCTTACTTGCTTTAGCTTAACCATAATGAAGACACTACATAATATTTTAAAAACATGGAAGAAAATGGATCTTTTTTTGCCTTCTTACATATCAGAGAAACAAACAGCATGGCTCTATGCGAAAATCCCATTGCATTTGAAATTTATTAACCAGAATCACCACATACAGTATCTATTAAATTACACTGTTTCCTGCCTTCATTATATCTTGATACCTTCCTAGAGATAGAACCGCAACCCCATGGAGTTCTTTCCTTTTTCAAATCAATTTCAAATAGCTGCCATGGTTCAAAAATCTAGATAATGTTTTGTTTTCAAGAAATAATAAAAAATACAAATTGGGCTGTGCATTCAAAACGTCTTTAATGCAGGTTAGATAAAAAAAAAACAAACCAGCAGTTTGGCATAGCTACTCAGTTCAGCTTCCAGAAAAAAAAAATCATCTGGATCTTAAGAGCTATCCCTTTACTTCAAGAAGTTTCTCCCAAGACATGTGGCAGAGATACCTGCTCATGTGTGCAAGTGTGTCCACAGTCTGGTCCTTGATTTTGAGGAAGCAATTGTCCCACTGCCATTTCTGTAAAATGAAACCCATGCTTAAAAAAAAAAAAGTCCTTCAAGATGAAATGGAAACCCATATGCATATCCATTACATACTAAACAATATATTTTGTAATAGGGGACTTTTTTGTCTCTTTTATATATATGCTGTGCTGTCTTACATCTTTTAGAAGGAGCAAAGTGTCCCTGGTTGCCAGTTCTTCTTTATCCTCCTCAGAAAGGACTGGTTGGTGGCTGATTGGTGGTGTGGGTTGTGAAACTTCAGCTTCAGTAGGAAACAAAACCAAAGTAACAGCAATCCTAAAAGCTAAAACATCCCCTGTCAGATTTTAACTTCTTCACTCCTCAAACCCAGTTTAAGTGTTTGCCATATGAGGGAAGAGAGGAAAAAACCCTGCCAACCTATAGAATGTGCTACACACATCTGCACAGGAGTTGTGCTGACTTTCAGGAGAAGGCAGCTTTCCTCAGAAGATGTCCTTTCTGCAGCTTCTGTTATTAGTATGCTAACATATTATCAAGCAACTTTTATCATCTTCTTCCACTCATCCTGTGTGGCATGAGTCCTTGCAGCTATAGTGTGATCAGGTTTTTTTTCAAAAGCCTGTTCAACTGTGATTAGGCAAGTTCATGGGCTGGCTAAATTTGAATTCTTACATAAGTGAAGGGTAGAAAAAAACCCAAAGTATTAAGCAATGGGCCTTTTTTTTGAAGGAAGAGAATGATAGAATGATTGCTTCAGTTACTGAAAGTCATTTTTAAGTGTCTCTTAACTCACAGTGCTCTTAAAAACAGTTTTAAAAGGTATCAGGTTGGTTTTTGATAAATTCTCTTTTTTTTTTTTCCCTGCAGCAACAGCCCTAAGTCAGGAGAGAAGGTCTACAATTTTCTTTTGGCTCTCTTTCTCTGTGCCTCAAATCAAGATAAAAATTTGAATACTAGTTTTGCGTTACCTGCTAGTGAAATCATCAAGGTCTCTCAGAAGTGCCAGAATAAATTTGATTTTTTTTTTTTTAACTAGAGAATCATCTTAGAATGCATGAAACTCATTTTTCTTGGGATTTTTAGGGAAAAAACAATAGTAAGTCTATCTCAACATGCAACACATTTCATTTACCATGGCAGCAAATATTGGGATGCCTTTTTTTTCTAGGCCTTGTTTAATCTCCTTTTACCAATTCATAATTTAGTCCAGCAACTTTTAAACTAAACTTTGACAACACAAAAAAATATTCAGAGCTGCAGATTCAATGTACGACACTCTGCACTTTCAGTTTTTCTTATTAAATCTTTTATTCCATTTGTAGATGCAAAAAAGGAACCAGCACAAAAAAACATGGACATATTTTTATCAAAAACATTGGCAAGTGCTAGGAATAGGCATGTGAAAGGAAATACAGTATTTCATTCTTCATGATTTATCCCCACATGCTGACTCTCAGAGGAATGCACAGTTCCACTGACTCAGTGGCAGTACCTACAGAGTAAACAACTTTGTCTTCTTGAGTAGCACCAAAGCCACTGGCTGTGGTCCCAGCTCATCACCCTCCTTTCTCCCCCTTCAAGTTTGAACACCTCACTGGAGACATCCTCAGACAAGCACAACACTGATAGCACCAGTACACCACTGAATATCAAAATATCTTATAGTTTAGGAGATCGGTGTTCCTCACTCTTCCATGTTATCAGAGACAGGTGCTACAGCAAAAGGGACAATCACTTTCTGTGAAAAGCTGTCCCTTTAATTTCTATTTGTATAAAAAAGTCTGTCTGGCTAAAATTGTTTCCCAGTAAGATATGAAAGCTTGGAAGTGGATTTATTTTGCTGTTTTGTTATATTAATACAAATAGTAAGAAATGTTTGGGGTTTCTCTTCACAGATAAAATCAGGGTGCAAAAGGTAAGAAGGGAGAAGTTTCACTGTAACTAGTGCAGGAAGGTGTACATCTGTGCACATCTGAGGAAAACTCCCAAATACAAAATATTTGAAATGTTGAAATATATGTATTAAAATTGGTACAAATAGGACCATTAGTTAAAAAAAATTCTGAAAAAATGTCCTGCATTATTTCAAAGGATATCAATAGATCACAGTGTATCAGGAAGCCACCTAGAAATATAGTTGGAAAACCTCCAGAAGCAGGAGCTGTGATCAATCACCAGACCTTGTGAGTATGTTCCACTGACAATGCTCAGTGCTTACCAGGACTGCACATTTTTTATTTCCTTGCAATACTCCAAACCTACTGGTTTGCCCTTGTGTAAGGGCAGACTCCCACAAAAGGAGAGTTTCCTTTTAAGCTTGAAAAGAACACTGAAATGGCATGAAACTGTTTTCTTTTTTCCTCAGGTGTACTGAAGAAATAGTTCTGTTTGCTTTCCCAGGTGGAGATTTCCCAACAACTGGAGAAGAGTCAAAATTTTTGTACACAAGTAAAATTGCTTATTAAAAAAAGTTTAATCCTTCATCTTATTTAAAATAGATATTAAAAAATCCATATTTGGTCAATGCTTATAAAAAAATAAAAGTGTACTGACAGGTCAGTCATTCCACTAAAACTGCTTCTATGTATGTGCCAGTACAGGAGATCCTACAAAGCTTTCTCAACGCCACAGCTGTTGTCTTCTTATACGTGTTTCTGCAGAAGGCTACTCCATGTTTCGCCTCTGGCTGAAGTGTTAATTGGCAGAAAAATGCATCAGAACATGAAAGCATGGCAGAGTCGAGAGTGGCTCAAGTTAAAAGTGAGTGAGATGCCTCAGTGTTGCAGTGCTTTTAGCCACCTTGAGAGAGCTGGGTACTCAAAATGGAAAAAAGCAGTCACTTGCACACAAATAGAGCAAAATCTGAATATTATCATTTAAGGTGCAGCCACTTCTGTTAAGACAGCTGAAAATCAAGTTGAAAGAGAAACTAGTTCTGTGTCCTGCTCTTGCTCCAGGCACAGTATTTTGCCAAATTTGTATCAAGCAGGCTCCAAACTAGTTAAAACTGAAACTTTCTGATTCTGTGTACTGTGTTGCCCCAGGCAATATGACTTCATCACCTGCAGCCTCACTTCGACAAATAAGAATAAAGTTTCTTCTTAAAAGTATTCGTCTTCCCTAGGATAAGTTATTAATTCTTCTTTCTTGCCTATATGAAGCAAGTATCACTGTAGAGATATTGCACCTCTAGTTACAGTAACAGGACCTTTCAATAAAAATTATATTAAAAATAATTGTATCAACATTTCTAGGAGTTTATAAATACAAACAGCCTTCAGCACATTTAGTAAACAGGCAATGAACAAAACCAACTGCAAAATGTAAAATACCCCCTCTATTTCTAGGGCTTGTCATTACAAAAAAGTCTGTGGAAAGAACAGCTGCTTTTGAAGACATTAAGTCAGTCTGTGATAGCTCCAGTGGGACCATCACCTTCTGCAACATGATATGCAACAGCAGAGGATTGTTCTGAGGGGATGTTTTCTCCTGTATTCCAAAGCTTTTTTCACTTGGTCTTTAGCATCTCCTACATAGTCCTCAACATTTTGCATATTTATCTCAATAACATCAAAGGTGTCCGCCTGTTCCTCCACCAGCAGGGCCACCTGCAGAAAGAGCTCGTGAACTTCCTTAATGCGGCCTTCTAGCTTCACCAGCTCCTTGTGCCGCGTCTCTATCTCATTCAAGGCTGCGCGAGCTCCCTTAACATCCGACAAGAGATTCTCGGAGAAGACATCCCATTTGCCTTGCTCAATCATCTCTTCAATCTGGTGGCCAGAAACGTCTTTGCCCATGATCTCCAGCTGCCGCTGAATTCGAATCTTGCAGTTCTCCCGCTGGTTCATCTCTGCTGCATTGTAATCAAACATAGCATCCTGAAATGTGTGCATGAGGTCAACGTAGTGGTTCTTCGCCACCCTGGCAATGACAGACATAGCTCCGTATTTTGTTACTGCATCTTCACAGAAATCTCTCATTACCTGCAGTTTCCTGTGGATGCTTTCTCCACGGCTCTTAATGTCTCTGGCAATACAATTAGTATCTCGTTTGATGCTACTAAGACGGCGCATGGAAGTAAGGAAGCGGCTGTTTTGCTTTCTGAGACGGTTGACATCCGCTTTCAGGTGGTCATTTTCTGTCCGGATGCTCTGTATGTCCTTATGAAGGATTTCCAAGGCATAGTCTGTCTCATAAAGGAGAATGTCCTGGGGTGAATTTTCATCATCATCACTATCAGAAAACTGTTGGTTGTGTAACCTGGCAAATTCACGCAGCTCACTTAAACGGTCTTTCATCCTGCCTGTAAAACAGGAACAGGAGGAATGAGTTTGAAGTCACTAAAATATTGGTTAAAAGAGTTGAAAATTTGTAACTAATAGCTACATCATGGTGATAACTAAATCACTGATAACAAACGTCACTCATCAAAGATAACCCAAAATACTAGATTTTAAATTTGTTCACAGTATTTTAGACAGTGATGGATATCACATCCAAAACTCTGCTAGAACACTGTTCTAGAAGGTACAAGTTTATAAACAAAACTGCAGGAAAGAAGACAACAAATCCTGAAGGAAAATAAAAAAGAATAGTAGGTCAGTCCCAAACTCCCTACAAAATGCCAGTCTTTTACTTGGAGAGGAAAACCAGACTCCTGATAGTAAGCTTTCAGCTATAAGCATCTGTAGATATGGTAATAACTGAACACCTTCCACTACTGCTCACTAGAGAAATCTCCTCTAGGTCCTGATCCCTCATTACATCAACTGCCCAAAATGTCACAGGGCTTCCTTCCCTCATTCCAACTTTGCTTTTCCTGGGAGAATACTAAGACACCACTCAGAAACAGAAATGGCATTTACCAATAGAGTTGGGAAAGAAAAGTTTCAAAAAATGGTGTAGAAAGTATCAAGATACGGAAAAGAAAAAACAAAAAATAAATAAAAAAAAAGGAAAAAGGAAAAAAATTGAAAAAAAAAAAGAAAAAAGAAAGAAAAAAATATTAAAAAAGCAACTTTAGTGTGTCCAGATGCTATCACTGATAATAGAGACATCAACCCACTTAACACATTCCTGTGTCACCTGATTCACATGATCCTGTCTTGGTTAGATTTGGACTAAATGATCTCAAAGGTCCCTTCCAACCCTAATAATTTTGCGATTCTGTGAACTTTGTGCTTACCATTCCTTAAACTTAATAAAAATTAAATATCATCAGCCTTCTACAGAAAGCATAGTAACAACTGGCTCAGCAATAATTTCACTTTCTGTTTGTGTTTTCTTTGTTAAGCAAACACTGAGTAAAGCTCCTGTGTAATAAATTTGTAATTTTTTAAGAGGAGGTCTACCTTTCCTTCCTCAGGAAGAAATGGAGAAGCAAATACATAGTAATTCAAAAAATGAAAATGCTGTAGTATATTAATGTGTATATTAATTCTGCAGCATCTCTAAAAATATTGTTTTTTTCTTTCTTTTAATACAACAGGAAAGGTTAAAAACTCAAACATTAAAAGAAGAGTAGGGAGCTGTCAAATGTTGCCTTGGATTGTACCACAATGTTGCCTGGACACAGGAAGATCATGCAATTAAACACTGGCCTGTGCACTATCACTTCCACCAAGTCTCTGCCTACAGTCTGTATGTGCTGAATAAAAGTTGTACGACATAAAATTTAATATTAATCGTTCAGTTCATGCTATCTCATTGACTATATTGTTACTGTTCATTTCCTTGGGGATTTCCCCTGCAAAATCTTTGGAAAGTTCCATAAACTCCTACCATTTGTTTGGGGAAAGGCAGATCTAACAGCCCCACAGCCAGGTTTCAGGCCAGAGTCCTTAAGGACAATAGTAATAAACTCTTGATAATTTACAATGCCCACTTGAGACACTTCAAGCACAATTCTTTGTACCTGGAATCTTCAGAAGTCAGCCCCTTCTGACTTCAGTCACTGCTGCAAGCCTTGAGCACTTTGCTGAGTAGGATCCTGAAGGAGCAAGCTGGACATCAGTGAATGAGCACATGGAGCAAGGCCACTTGTGAAGAGCTCCTCTCCAGTGACTTGGACAGCATCACACACAATCTCCGTGATCCAGCAGATCCACTAGAGTCTAGTTGTAAGTGGAACAGAGGGATCAAGTTGGAGTTACACTTAGAGTCTTCACCCTGGGTTTTCCCAGCTCCCCAGTACTTAGTTCTAAAAGACTACATTATTTGTATCTATGTACCAAAACTTAGATTTAAGGTGATCAGCATTAGTATCTTTTAACTCTGCACTGAGGACCAGTACCTGTCTGAGATATGTCTCCACAGCTAAAGTGTTCACACTTTTGTCCTAACAAATGGATGCCATCTATTTAAGCCTGACTTCAGAGTCCTGCAAAATCAGGGACTTTTTGGCACTTTCTTTCATTCTCCCCACGTCCTGTCTTTTACACTTCACCTTCACATTTTCAAGATGCTCTTCCTTATCTACACACCATACCTGGACAGGATGGAAGAATGGGAAGTGAGTAACTTTATGCCTGTATTTCAGCGTCATATTAGGCCACAAACACCACAAATTACAGACGACATTTGTTCAGCTTTATGCTGAACATGGTCAAGTACTCCATAGGGGTCAGCATTTGCAATATTTGGTCAAATAGGTTCGTGAGGTTCAAGAAAATGTTTAGATTTCAGCTTTCTTGAGCACCTTTTGCTCAAGGAACACAGTAAATTTATTTGGGGTATTTGGAAACTCTTTGGGGTATTTTGGAAACTGAGTTGAGAAACTCTCAATTTGGCAGAATTTCAGGACTTTTTACATTAAGAAAAACAGTAGGCTGGAATGTAACATCACCACAAAGGTCTTTTCCTATTTCCAATTCTCATTTCAAACAAAGGGGAAACAGATCTTCCCAAGAGAGGACAATAACTTCCAAATATTCCTTGGATGGTGTTAGGGACGGAATTGATTAAAGAGCTGAAATAAACAAGGAAGGAGAGCAAGGGGGAATGGCAACTTGAAACATTTCAATGTAACAAATCACGGTTTACAAAAGTTGGCCTCCTCTGTCAGATGCTGCTGTTACTCAGCAGTTTGCATCTATGTATATGTTGATTGTATCGCTTGTAATTTGAGCAGCAATATATTAATATATGGTACATCTGGTTATTAGAGATAGCCTGAGACCTCAGTCTGTAAAGTGAGTGTCAGTCTCTCCCTTTATGCAGCAGGAGAAGTTGCTCTCTGGTGGGAAAGCAGCTCTGCAGGACCTCAGTGTGCTGGTAGCATGAAGGGGAACACGAGCCATGCATCCTGGCTGGAGCAGCAAAAGTGAGGAAAGGGACCCCTCCTGTCTGACACTTGAGAGACCACATCTGGAGTGTTACACAGACACACTGGAAGGAGACCAGGGGAGGAGAGAGGTGGTCAGAGGTGCTGGAGCACCTGACATATGAAGAGAGACTGAGAGAGCTGGGAATGCTCAGCCTGAGAAAGAGGAAGCTCAAGGAAGATCTTGTTGCCATCACTAACTGCTTAAAACAAGGCATTTTCCCTTCATGGAAATGTACAGCAATAGTACAAGATGCAACAGACCTATGTGGAAACAAGAGAAGAGCCAGCCAGGTATGAGATGGGGGGAAAGTAAAAAAATAAGAAAACCCCAAACATTTAGAAGCCGTGGAAAAGGTGCCCAGAAAAGTTTTGGAATCAGCATCCTTGAAGATATTTAAAACTCTACTTGACATGGCCCTTAGCAACCTAAATTGCCTGTGTGTGTTTTGAGCAGGCCTGGATTAGACAATGTTCAAAGGTCCCGTCTAAACTGTTCTGGTAATCAGCCTTAGATAAAAAGTTTGACCATGAACATTAAATATATTCAACTACTTGCATGAGTCTATATAAAGAGACATCTAACACATTAGAATATCAAGACAGTGACTGCTCTGGAGTAGCAACTGCAAGTGTATAACTGCTTTAATTCTAAGAGTGTGAGGTTTAACAGATGAGCTGTCAGCTTTATTTTATTTTAAAATGCTATGGATATTCAAATTGGAACATGTACTTCCATTTGTATTTTTAGGCTAGGTAAATCTGTCCTTGTAAATATGAAGTTCCTTCTTCCAGTCCATCATGATGTGTACACCCAAACACACACACAGGAAATACAGGCCAGGTGATGACTGCAGAGGTTACAACTTTGAAGGCAGATAGCCAGCAAGTAGAGTCAGCTGAGGGCATGTTCAGTGCTCATCTTTCCATGTTACTGTGCTGCTTACTGGTATTAATCACCACAGTGACAAGCTTTCCCATGATGCATGAGAAACACACAAATTGTCCTGTTGCAATAAGACTGCAGCCCCAGACAGCTGTGTATGACATGGGATTTCAGACAAGAAAGAAAATCCACTCTGAAAATCAAAAACTATGCATGTGCATACACCCCCTTTCTGTTAGCCCCATATACATACAAAAGGGGGTCCTACAAACACTGCCATCATTGCCATGCAAACGTTCTGAAGCCTATTAACTATGTATAAATAATCCAAGGATAAAAAGTTATTTCTACAGAGACAAGTGAATTACACACTTATGTTTATCTCAGCTTTAACATTTGCATATCCACACTCTATCCCCATATGGGCCATTCACGCAGGAGTTGGGCTCAATGATCCTTGTGTGTTCCTTCCAGCTCAGGATATTCTGTGATTCAGAGTCTGGGGACAAATGGTGAAATGATGAAGCAGTTTCAGCACAGCATCCATATTTCATGGCCAGCTGCTGGGAAGGAAGGCAGTGTACATTTTTTCTTCTTGCAGCTTTCCTAAATGGCAGCTGCTACTTAATACCATCTTGTGGCTTACCAAAAGTCTAGTCAGTAATCTTTTCAGCCTCGAGTAGGGCCTTACAAGATGAAGCTTTTACTTCAGTTGTTTGAGGAACAACAGATATTTCAAAACAAGTCAGTTAAAAATAATTTCTGTCAGTAGTTCTTCTTGCCCTTGGAAGGTAAAAGGAACCCACATGGCTCATCCTGGCTTTGAATGGCATGTGATTTTTATCTCATGACACAATAGACATGACCCAAAAAACAAGTGGTGAACAATTAGGAAATAACCTGCTCTTAGGCAAAATTACTTCATAGCTAAGTATGTGTCAGCACATTTCAGTGACTTCCCATGTCACTGAAGAGCGGCTTGTAGAGCATGGAGTATTGATGGAAATCTACTCAGCGGACTTGCTGAATTGAACAGACTGCATTCTAAGGCAAATAGAGTGCTGCTGTTGCACTGAAATACAAGTCATGCATACGTAAAAAAGTGTTAAATTTAGCTGAAACCTTTTGTTTAAGTGTTGGAATTTCAGATTTAATAATTTTCTAGTAACTGTCTGTTTTGTAAACAATTGTCTTAGAGCTTAATATTTGTCTTAGACTTAATATTTTTGCTTGGTATCTGTTGCCCAATAATAGATTTGACAATATTAATTAACTTGGGAAAAATACTTTTTTCTTTTCTTTTTTAACAGTAGGTTCTCATCTTTCCAGAAGAGTAATTGGCTTATAGCAGAGTACTAATCATCTTTTCAGTCCAAATTCCCTGTCTTCCCAACCATGCCCATCACAGGTGGCACAGCAGGCTTGATTTTTCAAATTAGTCATCTTTTTTTCTTTCTTCTCCTCTGCAAGAGCCTGAAACAAAAAAAAATTATAATCTAGTGATTAGGACAGTTTGCCTTCTCAAGCTGTTCTAAGATGACATATGTGTACTAATTCCAAGATTATTAACAACTATGACAGAGATCAGCAGTTCAAAATCTTTTTGTGGCCTCATTGAAAGGAAGTTATCCTCTCTGGAATTTCTTGGATTTCACAATGTTTAAAAATAGACAAAATGTATTCAGGAATTAAAATCCATCAGTTAACACTGAACGCCAGTTCTAAAGCTAAAGAAATCCATCAAGAAGTTGCAAGTGTATCCAAAGACTACACTACCCAGCTCATATGCTCATCAAAGCCTGTGTACAGCAGAAGACCATCTTTATAGTTTCTGTCACCCTACAGACAAATATCTGCAGTTGCAAATGTCTCAGGGTATTATTTTTTCCCAAAATATCCCTGTCCTATGCCAGGATAAGTTATTTATTACAAGCTGATATATTCAGAGAAGTAAGGATAACTCCATTCTTTGCAGGCTACTTCTGCATCTGGCAGAAACTCCAAGTCTCCAGTGGTTCCTTTCCTATCACAAAGTCTAGGAAAAACCTGGGGGGGGGGGGAATTAATTCCAATTGTTGCCTCTAATTCAAAGAAATGAGGCAGTAATTTCTAGAATACTGATAGCTTTGGAGGTTCTTCTTTGACTTATCTCAGTTTTTTTACCAGTATTCAATCTCTTCAACAGAAAAGAACTCTCAGTTTTTGTATGACAACATATTATAAATTCAAGGATCTAGGGTGCATCTCATACTTCTCAGATGTACTGAATATGGTTAACCATCCTGGTGAATATACCAGGTTAACCATCCTGGTGTTTTCTGTGGACTGGTTATCAGCTTTCCCCGACATTAGTATCAAAACTAGGAGATGCTTCTGGTGTGCATTAAATGCACTATAATATGCCATTTTTAACGTATTAATGAAAAGACTGAGAAAAAAAATCTGATGTTTTATCTTGTTATTACTCAGCAGCCATGAGAGTAAACATTATTCCTGTGTTGGAGAGGTCAGTTTGTTTTACATGGGTTGACTGCTACTATTTACTAGGTTGTCTAAATTTTCACTGGAGAGCTATGGATCACCACTGACAACCTTTTAATAGTGGATAGATAAAATGGATTCTCAGTATCTCTTCTTGACATTTTCCTCCCAAGTCACATAAATGAGCAATTGTAACTACATTTGGTGTTGTTTGGGTGGGGAGCAGAGGTAACAGGGCTATAGAGAAAAAAATTTCTCAATCTTCACTGGTTTGCAACACCAAGGTCTTCAGGTAAAATTGGCCTAGATAGAGACAAGGGGAGTGTGAACTGTACCTCCAAGGGCTTGGCAAATGATTCAGACAGATCCATACCACTTAATATAAACAGTGAGACAGCCATCTGTGCATTTCTTGGCAATTACTACAGCTCGGCATCATTACAGGTCCCCGTGCAGGGCAATCAGCCAGCACACTCACAGGCAGTGCTGGCACTACAGCACCACGAGAATATACATTATCTAATTAATCACCTCAGCTTCCCTGGAACACATTGGCTCAGCGAAATAGCTGTGTACATGCCACATGTATATAACTACTATTGCTACCACACCGTGGTATTTATAAGTGATTAAGACATTATGTTGGTATGTAAATAGAAATACGAGGTTGCATGTGATCATCAGTCAGAAGAAACACGTTCTACTGACATTTTTAAATTAGCACAACTGCATTATTTTTTGAAAAGCACAGGCTTGTTAGAAAGTGTTACAATCTGAGACCAAGTACTATTGATTTAAAAAAATTCCTTTAAGGTTAAATACAGGGTGTTTTCTTGGTATTTGGTCTTGTGGGCCTACATGTGAGGCTCAGTTTGGATTCTGTTGCAAAATCTACACAACTGTACCAGCACCAAACTAGTTCCAGCCAGGAAATAACCCCTATAGCCAGCCACACATGCAGACCCACAGCCTCAGCCCCAGGACATGTCAGGCTTTATGGCAGTTATGCTACTTAGCAGCTCATGGGTGTTTGCAGGCCCATTCAAAGCACCGGTGAAGCTCAGACAAGATATAGATGTAATTAGGGACACACCTGGTTGGGCATATCAAAAGCTCAAACAAGCTTTATTCTTGCTTTCAAAAATAAGTGAGTTGCAATACCACAAAATCAGCACAGTGAAAAGGCATAGCAGGAAAAGCTGGATCGTGCAGTAATTTCTTCACTTTTGTGAACACGAGCTTGTTGAGAATAATCCTGGCAATTAATGGGTTAAGTGCCATAGCGGATTAGGCAAAAGCTGCACACATGATAAGCCTTCAGAAGCCAAGATATGTGACATCATTCTGTCTCTGATAAAACTACATGTAGTTTTATCTAGATGTAAGTGCCAAGCACTGTATGAGAGCTCTTGCTGATTATGTAGAGCGTCTTGATATCTCATCTAGCCTATCAAAGTAGAGATAAAAACCAAATTGTTTCACTTCCCTCATGTGCAGCCCCCCCACTACCCAAGAGGGGGTTCCCAGGAGCCAGCCCTAGGCTGCTCCCTGGGAATGATGTCCCTCACCAGAGTTGGTTCATGGCCACAGCTTGGGGAATAACCCAAAATACAAGCATAAGCAAAAATGGTTTCACTGCATAAAGTGGTAACCCCAGATCTGGTGTTGAGATGGGTTTACTGGATCAAGTGAACATTGCCTCAGTTACTTCTGCACCACACTTTGTCATCCTTGAACTACAGGAAGGACCAGAGTTAAAGAAAATTGATGGGCCAGATAAAAGATAATAGAAAGTGTATCTGGTCCAGCACCTTCATATTTGACACAGCAGTTGTCTTCTCACTATCAGAACTGGTTTTGAACATATCAGCATTAGGATGGGTATCTGTCACACTCAGAGATTATCCATATTTTCCATTAGATACTTGGAGAGTGAAACCAAATATGAGCTTGTACACTCTCCAGGCAACACTGAACTGGAAGGGAGTAGAAGCAAGTGTTTGGTGAGGGCAGGGAAGGAGAAATTATGAGACTTTAAAGGGATCTTCACAGTAAGATGATAATAATTAACAAAAAGAAAAGGAAATTCAATATAGTCAAGCCTGGCACGTTTAGATAAAATTATTCACACAAATATAAAGTAGGAAACACCTAGTTTGGCAGCAGGAAGGCATTGGTGAGGTTACAGCTGATTGCAAGCCACAAAAGCTCACAATATAGGGTCATTCTAAAAAAACCAAAACCTGATATCTTAAATGAAAGATGGCTTGGGAAGGACTGATTTTACTCTGCTTGACATAGATAAGGCCTCAGCAGAAAAAGTACATCCTGAAACAGTTATCACATTAGGAAAGCCAAAGGGAGCACATTTGGCATATAATTGTCACCAAACATTTTAGAAAATACACTCCTGGAGAAAGAGGAGCAGAATGAATTATCTTCATTTAACTCAGAAGATCAGGGAGGGAGACACAGTACTCCAGGACATAAAAGGAGTTTTCTATGGAAAGGGAAATGGTCAGTTTGATCCCTGTGTTGACACTGGAAACAGGCGAAGTAATCAATTTATTTCACTAGGCCTACGTTGAACTGGCTGTGACTTGCTGAAAATTGGACCATTTCTCTGTGGAAGCACTGTGGGACCTTCTTCCTTGACAGAAAGAGAGAAGATACAGAAAGCCCTCTCAGGCCTGGTTTAGGTGCACAGCTCCAGTGCCCCAAATGGATCAATCAATGTCTTACAGTTCCACAGTGGCCCTGCATTCCCAGGAT